CGCTTACGGCCTCGATTATCAGTAGTAGCGAATTTATCGAGAGGTGATCTAAAGGCGTTAGTAGAGGCTCTAAGAGGCGGATAAAAGATATATATCTAAAGCGTTTAATAACGTTTTCGCGAGGGATATCGAGAACGATTATATTCATATTAATAAATTAATAGAATAATAAAAGAAGAATAATTATATAAATAGATAAAAGGATTATTATTCGATCTCGAATACGTCTAATGTAACTACTATAACTATCATATTTGAATATTTATTTAATTCATCAATAGTAGATTAAACTTTATAATTTTTATAGCGTTAGAAAGCGTAAAGCGAGCTTTACAATTTGAGGAATTATGAAGTAACTATATATATCGCAAGCTGAGTACTTTAAAGTATAAGACTTCTATATATAAATTTTTGATAAGGAGACGCGGAAGGGCTATCGGGCTGATTTAGCCGGTCTAATCAAAGAGCGTAGCGAACTCGAATTTATAATTGGCTGCATATACAAATTCGAGGTTTTCAAGCTCAGCTCTATCTTATTCTTTTATATATACTAATATATATTAATTTAAAACAATATTTTTTATTTTAAATTCTAGCGTTAATATTAATAAGCTTTATTACTTATTTAATAAATTAATTAATTATATTATAAAGCGCTTTTTTAAAAATCTAAATATTATAATAATTAATATATTTATTAATAATATATTTATCTATCTATTTATTATTTCTAATTTTTTAAAATTATAAAATTAAATAATTAATTTATAATATAATAATAACTTTAATTTTTTAAAGAATATTATCTCTTCGCTTTATATCTTAATTTTTATTTAAGATAACGCGAAGCTTAATAATATCGTTTAATATAGAATATATAAAATTAAATTTATTTTATATAAGAAAAAGATATAAATATTAATACTAGAAAATAAAATTATAAAATTAAAAAAAGAGAGAGTAAAGTAATAGATTTTAATAAAGAGTAAATATAATAATATTTAGATAAATTATAAATTAATTGATATTAATATTTTAAATATATTAAAAATAAAGCTAATTATATTATAAATAAGATTCTTAATTAAATTTTAAAAATATTTTTAAAACTAAGTTATATTATTTATATAGTCTTTTTAAAATAAAATAATATTATTAAAATTATAGAATAAATACTTTATATTAATTATAATAAAAGATTAAATAATAATTATAATAATTAATATAGTTATCTAATAAAAAGATAGCGTAAAAATATCTTTAATAAATCTATTCTCTAATATCTTTAGATATAAAGAAGAATTAGAGAAGTGTTATAATATTAGCCCCTTCGGCTATCGTATAACATATCGCGTATTACCAGGGCTAGTAATTACCAGCCATTATTAGCCATCTATTTTATATATATAAATATCCGTATATCCCATAAATTAATAATCAGTCTTTTAGTTATAATCAATTTCTAACATGTCTAGTATTCTACTTTTAATAGATTATAAGCTCGGAAGCGGGCAGAGTAGTATCGAATATCCTTGCACTTTCTAATATAGATATTAAACTAAGTCTTCGGTAATCGTTTATAAATAGATATATCTCATAATGATAGCCCATTTTTTTAGCTCGTATCTATCGACGAGAGGGCTGTCGCTATTTAATCCCTACACAAAAAATGTTAAACTAAAATCCTCGTTTTATCCGAGGTCCCGAAATCAATACGAATAAAAAACCCTCATATCATATAAGGACCCGAACCAATCAAAAACCCTCACATTATTCCGAGGTTTCGAAACAATACGGGCAAAACATTAAAAACCCTTAGATCATTTCGAGGTCCCGAAGCAATACGGGCAAAACATCAAAAACCCTTAGATCATTTCGAGGTCCCGAAGCAATACGGGTAAACTATTAGTCCCGAAACAATACGGGCAAAATATCAAAAACTCTCATATTATTTCGAGGTCCCGAAACGAGTATTCAAAAGCCCCGGCACTCTTTCTATTTTCCCTATCGGGGTTTTTTATAGATTTAACGAGGCCGAGTAAATAATCAATCTCGAATATAAAGCGTAAATTTGGTAATTAATATATATAGAATACGATATACTAGGGTTTAGGGAATCTAGCTTTTAGAGCTATCGAAGAGTGTTATAATATTAGCCCCTTCGGCTATTATATAATATATCGCGTATTACTAGAACTAGTAATTATTAGCTATTATTAGCTATCTATTTTATATATATAAATATTCGTATATCTCATAAATTAATAATTAGTCTTTCAGTTATAATTAATTTCTAACATGTCTAGTATTCTACTTTTAATAAGAAGATCTAATATATAGAGAATAATTAATATATCTTTATCTTTAAATTTAATAGATAAATATTCTATTAATAGAATTTTATTCTTATATCTATAAATTCTATATTATTAATATATTTATACTTTTTAATCTTATTTAAAATCTAGAAAAATTATAATATCTTATTATTATTATTTAAGCTACTTTTTAGCTTAAACGCTATTTATAATAGTAAATATCTAAATTAATTATATTATATACGTATTATATAATATTAATTTACACTTTTTATTATCTATATCTATATCTATTATAATTATAAATACGCTATTTTAATAAATATTATCTTTCTCTATTAACGATTCATTAATTTATAGTTAATAAAATAATTCTATAAGATACTTTAAGTCCCTTATAGCTATCTATTCTAAAAATTAAACTATTAATAATATTTTAAGCTAGATATACATTTAGCATAGACGTAGTATATATAATATATTAATAGAAATTCGAAAAGTGAGTGCTATATAAGTGTGAAAGGTTAGCTGAAAATTTCTAAAGTACGTATTTTCTCTAAGATAAGCTATAATAATAATAAAAGCTTCGCTTCTCTATATAATTAACTTTTTATAATTAATCTTAATTTATAATTTAGCGAAATATATTATAAAATTATAAAGAAAGAATTATTATTAATATTCGAAAATTTAATATTATAATAAAGAATAATAACTATCTTAGAGGAAATACACGATAAGGGTATATCACGTGATTATATCATTGACTCGATATTTGTTATAACTTTTAATCAACTTTTCATTAATGTTAAGTTTTCTATAATAGTAAATTATCGGAAATTCGAAATAAATAGAAAACTATTTAGTGATTTTCATATTATATATTAAGGTTTATACTAATTCGAGTATCTCGCTTCGCTTATAATAGCCTATTCATCAACGTCACGTGATTTATTTTTCGATTTTTCGATTTTTCTCGAAATTTAATATATAAGTAAGATATATAGCCCTATAGAGCTGTGGGACTTTAAGAAATTTTTGAAATTTTTTATATATTACCGCTACTCATTAATTCTCTACTAGTAATATATTAATATATTACTTTATAGCGTAGTATTAAAATAATAATAAATCGATATCTCTTTCGTATTTTATTAACTATCCATTAACTATTCATTAATAATAAATTTAACTTAATCGTCTATAAATAGAAAGTTTTATATAACTCTATTCGATATACGTTATATAGAACGTAGAATCTGAATATATACGATGTGTAGTTCTTATTATATAAATCGTATTATTATCGCTAATAGTTTATCTATTTTCTATTAATAGTAAATTCCTATACGTAGTAGCTCCCGTAAGATATTTATTATTCTTATAATTAGATATTATTATTTTAATAATAAAATATATTTATATCTCTATCGTAGATAAAGTTATATAGTTCTATTAATTTAATATAAAACTTTCTAATATATATAAGTTTATTATTATTAATTATTATAATTAGAAAGAATTTAATATAGTATTTATAGAATATAAAGAATTTTTATTATATATATAATACTAGATAAATACTATATTATATCTACTTTATATTTTTATATATACTTTTATAAATAATATAGAATTCTTTAGAAGTATAAATCTTATTTTTAATAATTATTTTAACTATTATAAGAGAAATATACTTCTCTAATATAATAAAATTCTTTTTAGAATTTCTATTTATAATACTATTAGAATAACGCGTTAACTCTCTTAATATTAATATATATAATAGAATAAGATAGAGCTAAACTAGAAAACCTTGAATTTATATATACAGCCAATTATAAATTCGTTAGGTCTACGCTTTTTAATTAGATACCGCGAGTAAATAAATTAGCGTTCGTAATCATTAAAAATCTATAAAAATCTATGTGTAGAAGTCTTCCCCTCTAAAATAACCAGCTCTCTACGGATATTATTACTTTATAATTTCGTAAATTATAAAGCTCAATATACGCTTTCTAACGCTATAAAAATAATAAAGTTTAGTCTACTATTAGTAGATTAAACTAACATTTAAATATCGTAGTCATATTAAATACGTTTAGGACGGGATCGAATAATAATCCTTTCACCTATTTATATAACTATTATTTCTCTATTACTCTATTAATTCTATTAATTCCACTAATATAAATACATTTACCCTCTCTATTCCTCGCTCTCATATTACCAGATCTATAAAGCACGTATACTTCTTCTACCCCCTTTTAGAGCCCCTACTAATATCTTTAGATCGTCTCTCGGCGAATTTATTATTGCTGGTAATCGAGGCCGTAAGCGAGCTTAATAGCTATTTACTACTGCTTATAAACGCGTTAAAAGGCCCTCAAAAAGAGCCCGAACGAATACGTCTTCTCTTATAGATTCCTCTCAAGTCAGCGGTAGTACACCCAGCGATGCTACCTCCCAAAACGCGTCTTCCTCCCCTACCCGTTCTTTATCACCCTATTTTAAAGCCTCTCAACGCGTGTTAGATTCTAAACATCGTTAAGAAGAAGCTCCTAAAAATATGATAATCACACCAGACGCGTCACAACATATTTACCCTCGGTACCCTCGCACTCAGTTGAATAAGAGGAGGATCTATAACAGGCGAATGCGGAGAACACTGCGGAGAACACTATGGAGAACACTGCGGAGAACATTACGGAGACAGTCATCAGCAGCAGTGACACAACAGGCCTACTCTCCACGGTCTCACACCAATCCACTCAGCCAGTGCAAGAGAAGTCAATACAGCAGGCGAATGCGGAGAACACTACGGAGAAACCAAGCGGCAACAAGGCCTCCAGCACCAAGAACACGGCTCAGCTCTCCAAGATCCCACGTCATATACTCTCCACGGTTCCACATCAAATCATCACTCAGCAAGCGCGGAGAACACCACTGCAACTAAGCCTATCATCCCCACTACATTAAGAAGTAAGAGAAGAAACTACAACAGGCAAATGCGGAGAACACTGCGGAGAACACTGCGGAGAACACTGCGGAGAAACCAAGCGGCAACAAGGCCACCATCGTCAAGAACACGGCTCAGCTCTCCAAGATCCCATATCATATGCTCTCCACGGTTCCACATCAAATCATCACTCCGGAACGATGCATATTTGGACGAATTGAAACCGTCCGATATCTACAGCTATTTTATTATTCGAAAAATTTCACTGCGGTAGGAGATATTGTGGGATTCACACCACTAATTGGCATGTTGTCTTCATTTCTTTCCGATATTTCGATACTTCTTGCCATAAGAACATAGTCTTTCTCTGTTTTTTGTGGGCAATTATTACGGATTCATCCTCCACACTCGATATACCTTCCTAATTAGGCCTTAGCGCGCCTCTCTCCGCATATATATGCCTATATATCATATAGATTAAATTAATTCTATAGTGATAGAAGTAGATCAAAAACGCACAGCAAGCGATTAGAGTTTGATTTAACTTAGGGCTAGGGCTAAAATTCGATTTAACTTAGAAAAATCCAACTCCATGAATTCAATTCATAGGCCTTTACTTATATCTATATTAAAAGAGAAGATTAAGATAATTATTATATTTCGATTTTTATTAAATCTTTATAATTTAAAAATCTTTCTCGATTTAATAGAATAGCTAAGAAACTCGATTTCTCGCTATATATAATATACTTAGCTATTTTAAAAATATAAGATTTCTCTTATTTAAATAATAATAGTTAAGTTAGTTATTTTTTTAGATTAATTTAAAGTAGTTATTACGTTTACTATTTCTAAAAAGTAGTTTATTAAACTCGCTTATAAGCGAACTTCTATAAAGCTATATTACGAATTAACTCGAGAAGAAATTTTATCTTCTAGAATTTATAGAATACTTTTTACTCGCTCTTCTTTCTAATATACTTTAATTAAAAATAGAAATTATATATTAATATTAATACTTTTAAAATATAGAGTTTCGCTATTATTATTTATTATATATAAGAAAAAAAGAAAGTTTTTATTTTTACTAGAGAAGATATATAGAGTATAATATTTCTAAATAAATAAATTAATATTATAAAATATAATTACTAATTTATAAAATTTAAAATTATTATTATAATTTAAATAATTTATAAAGTTAAATATTTAATTGAAATATTAGAAATATTATTAATAGTAATTTATATTAATTACTCTACTATAAATTAGATCGCTTAATAAACTATAATTTTTATATTATTTACTAATAAATTAAATCTTTAACTAATTTATATTTCTTAATATTTATTAAAATTTAATCTTATTATATATTATAAGATTAATAAATTAAATATTATTCTTAATATAATATCTAGATTTTAAATAAATATAAATTTTAAAGAAAAGTAAGTAGTACTAGAAAGTCTTTATAAGAGTATTTTAAAATTAAATAAATAAATAATACTACTTAAAGAAATTCTAATCTATTATATAACTTTAATAGAAATAAATAATAACTTTAAGAAATATCTTATTAAGACGTATAGTAAGAATTCTTAATAAATTAAGATTTTTAATTTATTTAAATAATTTAATTTACTAGAAAAACTTCGCTTTTAAAAATATAATAATTTTATTTATAAAATTATACTTAATTATATTAATAAGTAAAATTTTTATATCTCTAAATTTATATAGTAAAAGGTTTTCTAGTTAATATATAATTAGAATTTCTATATTAATTTCTATATTATCTACGTTAGAATCTCGCTATTAATCTATATTAGAGACTTATTAAAATATCTTTAAATTTATTTAAAGTATTATTCTAAGTATTAATTTAATTAAATTAAATATTATTTTATTTATAGCGAGCTTAATTTAATTTCTATATTATTTATTTCTTTTTATATTATAATATTAAATTTTATTATTATACTTCTCTTCTAGAAAGATAAAAATATACCTCTTATTATAATATATAAATTCTTTAAAAAAAATTCTTATATTAGAATTTAATAAATAGACTATTATCGATTAAATAAATACTTTATTTATTACTCTAGTATTTTATAATTAAAATATTTTTATCGCTATAATTAGCGATTATAATATTAAGTATATAAGTATTTTCTAAAAAGCTATTTCTAAAAAGCTTAGAATTATTATAGTAATTTTAATTATTTATTATCTTTAGATAAATAAGTAATTAAAAAGAACGAATTAGACTATCGAGATTATTTTATAATTTTATCTTATTATTAATATAAATAATTAATTAAATATACTTTAATTTTTTTAAATATATCTTAATAACTTAATTATATTAATAGAATTTATATTAAATAAAATTATATATAAATTTTAAGTATAAGATATATTAAGGCTACTTATAGACTTATCGCTAAAAATTTTTAATTAATTATATTTTATTAAATAAGAAGAGATTAATAATACTATTACTTTTATTAACGCTATAATAAAAACTCGCTATAATAATAGTTATAAAGCTATTAATCTTCGCGAAGAGTCTTTAATCTATTTAAAGCTATATTATAAATACTCTATTATCGATATTAATTTTAAGCTTTTTAATTAGAGAGTTAAATTATTTAAAATATTAAAAAAAGATAAAAATCTTATTTATCGATTAAATCTATTAAAATATGAAGGTAGAATACTTAGTTATATTAACTATAGAGTTCTATAAAAGAAAAGAGCGACTTAACACGGGCGCGCTAAGGCGTGTCACGTGACGTAGTCACGTGACTATCAAGACACCAAGAGTTATGTAATCCGAATTTCAACACTTTTCTTCGCATATATTCTTTTATAAGTAAAACTTAGTAGATACGAAGTTTAATACTAACGATATTAAAATCGAGTAAATAAGATGAGACTAGCGCCGGATAGTAAGAGTAAATTAATATCGAGTAGTTAAGGTAAGTTAGTGCCGGGTAATTAGCGTGAAAATATACCCTCTATACCCCTATCCCCCCCCTTACAAACTAAATTAAAAAATACGAGGTTTAAAGTTTACGACGTCCAAAATAGAGTAGATAAAGTGAAAAGTCGAAATCTGAAAACGATTATATTAAACTATGGCCCCCACTCAAATATAACTCAAATTCCACTTTTTATCAAAAAACGGTTTTTTAGAAATTTTATTTCCAGGCCATCTGATGTATATCAAAAATCGATTAATTCGAGGCCGAAGGATATATGTGAGGGTGGCTGAATAAAATAATTAAAAGAAATTCTTCTAGCTATATATCGCCGGCTATAAGGCCTTTATAGAGGCTATTTTAGATAATTAATTCTTAATAATAATAGCTATAATAGCGATAATTTGAAGATATAATACTCGAGATATTAGTAACAAGTAGATATAAGTTTTTTGAAAGAGCTTTAGAAGTTTTAGTAATGATAGTAGTAATAGCGCTAAAGAAATAGTTATTTCGATGTAAAATAGCGAGTTTATAGAGTGCTAAACTTAATATAGTAGCTCGATAGACGACTCGGGTTAATTATCTATAATATGAGAATTAATAAAATAGCTTCTTTAAAGTAAGCGGCTTCCCTGTATTAAGACTATTAAATTATAATTATAGATAATATTTTAACTTAATAAGTCGATAAAAATTTTTAAATTTATTCTTATAGAGGGCTTTAATAAGACTATCAACTATCTATTAATCGGTAAAAATATATTCTAAAGCGATATTTTTAGTAATAACTTATTTTTATATATAGTAATATTAAATATTAATATATTTAATATAGATATAAAATTAAGAGTTTTTAGCTAATACTATAACACTTTAATTATTATAAAAAATAATTATTATTTATATTTATTTATTATTAGAATTAAGCTAATCTAATAGATTACGTAATTAAATTACTTTCTTAATAGCTTATATTTAATTAATATATTTAGTTTTATAAATTAAAAATACTATAATAAATTATCGCTTCGATAATTAACTAATAACCTCGCTATTAATATTAAATATATATCTAGATATTAAGTAATAAGTATCTTAATTATTAATCTAATCGATATCGATATAACCGCTTAGAAGTTTTAGATCTCCTCTAAAGACGAGTTAATAGTCGACGATTTATCTAAGATAGCGAAAGATTCGCTTAATCGCTTTTTAATAAGCTTTATTAGAATTTAAGTTATATTAAAATATTATCGAGATCGCGAATATAATATTCGATTTTATATTAAGTATTATATATATTAATAACTCTATTATCGACTAATACTTAATATAAGAGATTTCGAAGGTCTAGAAGTCCTCTTTAAATATCTAATATCTTTCGATATTTATAAAAATAGATATATCTTTAAATTCTTATATACTATACTTAATAAGAAACTTTTTAATATACTCTATTTAATCGAGTCGAATAATATAATTAATATAATTTTTAGTAATAGTTATATCTAGATAATAGATATATAATTTTAAATTAGTTATTTCGAAGTAATTATTAAGCTTATCTTTAATACTCTAAATTTCTACTTTATCGAAATTAACTAAGAGAATATTATTTATATAAATTATAATAATTATAATATTATTAATAAAGATTAAGAAATTAATTATAATAAGTTTAAAGTCTAATTTTTTTAGATATATAGAGAGGGTATTATATTAGATCTTTAAGGATTACTTTAGATCGTATAGCGCCTTCTTTAGCTTATATATCTTATATTTACTACTTATCTTAAAGTTTATAAACTATATTATATAAATAATTTCCTTTATATTATTATAAAGAAAAATAATTTTAATATCTATTTACTTTAATTTTTAATTAAAGATTATTATTAAAATAAAGATCGCTTTATAGCTTATAAGCTTAACTATAAAGACGAAAGTCTTATTAAAATCTACGCTTTTACGCTATTTAAAATTATAAATTATTTATCGAGCTTTATATCGTATAATCTCCTTTATAAAGT